TTTATTGTACATCCCCACTTAAGTTAATCGAGTAAACAGGTAATACAAGGTGTACGTTACGTGTAACATATTAGATGTAACTTCTTATTGGACATTGTAATTATATAAATATATAACATAGAATTATGTAAACATAACACGTAAATAATTTTAATTAAAATTATTTAAGAATTGCTTGTCGATTTAATTTAATTTGTGATATCATTCCAGTAGTTTAATTGCTTTTGTAAGTCCGGAAAAGCAATTTGGCGCGCAGTTTGAAGGACTATGGTATATATGAATGTGTATAGCTTTACTATTCTTTTCTTCTACAACATTTCAGTTATGTGTTATGTTTACATAATTCTATGTTATATATTTATATATTATAATTACAATGTCCAATTAGTGGGAATTTATATCTAATATGTTACACGTAATATGCACCTTATTGTATTACCTGTTTACTGTAACTTTTGAGCCTTATAACTTGAAAAATATTTAATGAAAAAACATTTTATTATAGTGTTTTTCAACATCGGAGATGAGGCCCGTATTCTAAATAATTACCAAAATTGAATTAAACACATAAGTGTATAATATGTACGGAGGTACTGGAACTGGTGGTAAAAGTATTTCATCATCCATTATATCTATAGGTCTGTTCGCGTTGCATGAAATCCCCAAATATTTTTGCACTTAAAATGAGATAGATATATATTTGGCCTTGAAAAGAGAGAAAGCGAAGATGCCGAGTGCCAAAAGTGCAAGCAACGCGAATAGACATTATTCCTTCTAACATTTCACCAATATTTCTGTCATGCGCCATTTTAGTAAATTTTTGCATGTATGTATGTACATACGTACGCGGACGTTTGAGTTGTTTGAACAAATAACTACATGAATTAGTACAAGTTCTTTTTCCCTAGTAAATTCACTAGAATATAAGTGCAAATGGTGCGAACAAACCTTAGAACTCTAGACGCTTGACACTGGGTGCGGTCGAGTTGCCGCTACGAATGCTTCGAAGCATTTTTTGATTAGTTAATGAGTGAAATTCTTTCTTCTGATTGGTTAATCAAATGCTTCGAAACATTCGTAGCGGCAACTCGACCGCATCCACTGTCAAGTGCCATGTAAAGGTACCTTTAAATAGGTAAAAACATGAACGGATTCTAGTGACCCACGATGGTAGGAATGAAGCACCGAACATGAGGCGATTTTTGGCGTGCTTCTG